GGATCCCCGGTCTCGTTACCTGTCTGCAATAAACCGTATGATTCCGGGAAACCGACGCGCGAAAAGAATAGCGATCCTCTATTGATCCTCCATTGATCCGCCATAAACTATCCTATTGACGTTCAATATCTTTGTGCCGCACTTTCGCGCTGTAGTTTGTATTCGAAGGAAAATTTACCTTGTGTAGAGATGGAGGAGATTCTCCGCGGAGAACGGACAGCGAAGTGAGAGGTCGACTCGCGTTTCATTAACTAGAAACGTTAGAGGTCTTATTTTTAAGCTCGTAGAAATTGGTGGACTAATCAGTTTCTGAAAAAGAGCGTTCTTTGAAATCGGCCGGTTTAGTCTTGAAAATAATAACGCTCGTTTCGCAGAAATGGTCTATTTCGTAGAACTGACTTATATTCAAGGGTTAACCTTGCCAATGATGTAAAATAAAAGGAAAGAGAGAGAAGCAGGGAAGGAGAGGAAGGAGAGAGGAGGGGGGAGGAGTTCTCTAGTCAGGTGAGAACGATGTATTTGCGAGCGTAAATGGCTTGTCGTTCTGCCAAAAATTAAGAGATCCGGCCCGTACGCCGACCGTGAAGAAGGAACGCGTCCGAGCGGACGGAGGAGGTGGAGGAAATCATCATTTCTGGAACGTCGCGTCGGAAGATGCGGTTTCATTCGATAGCATGGGAACCTCGATTTTTACGGGATCGATCGCAAGGCTTCCTCGTCGGTCCCAAAGCAGCTCGCAAGCCGCCTGAATGACGGCGGGCAGACGGCCGCTCTCGCGTCGCCGTCCGCCGCCGTTTTCGCCGAAAGAGTTTCGTTAGGCCCCGCGTATATATGGTTTATATTTGTATGACTTTCAGCGCGCGCCTCTCCTGACATGTTTGCGCAAAATAAAGAATTTCGACGGCCCGGCCGTCCGTCTCGCTCGCGTGTGTACGAGAGAGAGTCCCTCGTCCGTCCCGCCTCGTCCCGTCCCGTACCGTCCCATCTCGTTTCATGTTGGCGTGGCTACTAAAAATATATCGTAGACGAGCGCGCATACACATCTCTCGCGCTTTCTGCCGTGCTGCATTTATAGATCGGGGCATTTACCGGAAAAGAAAAACTCCTTCGCTTCTGCGAAGGGCGGGCGCGATCGAGAAGAACGCGGAGAGACGCGCCGCGGTAGATCGCGGAATCGTGCCGCAACGGGCTTTTAATAATTCCGATTCTCGCGAAATTAGAACGCAAATTGGCATTACGGCGGACACGGTTGTCGTATTTGAATAACCGGCGCTACGAAGTGCCGCGGGCTTTGCCCTGGCGGGCAAATAGACGAGCTGCGCGATGAAGTGCGAACGGTGGTTGTCGATTATCTTACTGTATTATTTACAAGACGTAAAACGTCTCTCCAATTTCGATGACACTTGGCAGGTTCGCGGCAATGAGAGATTTATAAAATCAATAACACTTTTAAGAATTATACGAATTATATAAGTCTTATATCTCCATAAATATAAATATTTAATCCACCACTATTGAATCTTGGCTTTTCTCTTTACAGATATGCGTTCGATAAAGATCAAAACAGATAATAATAATTTCTACGTAAAACGAAATTATAACTGCAAGTGGCCAGATGGCTAAACATAACGTTTCCCTAATGCTATCGTTCTTATAGGAATCACTCAACGTATCATTATTACATTTTGATTTGTACGTACGAATGGCCTCGGCGAGATCCAAACTGCTGTTTCCGCGTAAAGTAATTACTGAAAAAATGTTACCGGCTGTGGTTGCATCTGGCCAGAGTTAACGGCGGCACCAGAGAATTTCTATGAGAATGGAAAATATGATTCGAGTGCTATTATGCAACTCCCCTAGGCATGGCTCGATGCGTCGAACATTATATTCGAGAAAACAAGAGTACCCGGGGCTAACTGGCACTAAACCTGTTTACGTGTAAAGTCTCACACTCGCCATTTTTTCTTTACGACGCCGTATCCGTCGTGCACTTTAATACGCGAAGCAGGAAGAAATCATTTTTACGGTCCCACGATCACTCGACTGCGCACTACGTAAAGTAAACAATGTGCGTAAACAGCGATAAGGACTCCGCGCAATAGCCGATATATGGACACGTTCATTTAATAAATACCTCGCTCTGAATTATTCCCTTTAAGAAAAAGGGGAAAGGCGCGTAATTTCTTCCATTAAAAAAACAAGATTGCAAATTACTTTGTATTTATATGACAGTTTTATCTCGAGGACCATGAAATTATAAAACTTGACTGCCTTGTGTTTTACTCAAAATTATATACGTCTAATGTATTTATTCGTACTTTCGCGAGGATCGATTCGCGAAAGTATGGGAGTTTAATAAAAAAAGCAGTCGATAAAAGTGCAAAATTTTGAAAAATTGATTAAAATAAGAACGCGTTATTTAAGATATTATTTAGAAGCGCCGTCTTAAGCCGCGGAGGTTAAATTAACGGTTTACGATTCAAATTTCTCCTTCGCAGCGTACACGCCTTCCCCGAGATATATTATCTGGCATACGTAAGGACGCATTCAAAGGCCCGTCATATGAGAAAGTGCACGCCGCGCGCTGATCGTAATCTCTTAATTTCGCATGTTTTTACGCCCCCGCAGGCACGGCATCCGAGTATCCAAACCGGTATAACGCGATATTCGCGGTCGCACCAGGTTGCGCAGGATTAAACTAATCGCGAAAAGACGCAAGGACATCGACTATCAGGTCACTCGCTTTCATCCGTATCTCCTCCCGAGAATTCTTGCCTTATCTTATCTAACGTTTGAGCTTTAAACTAAGCTAAAGAGGGTCCAGATTTTATTTTCTATCCACGATATTCATTGTAACACGTACGTTCGGACCTGCCTTTTTATTCTAAGCTGAAATTAATTCCCGCACGGAAAAATTTAATCACATACAGGTTTAAAAATAATTTTGTTGGACTTTGAAAGTATGCATGTTGTTCAAGTTGTTTGCTAGAAGATCAAAAATTTTCACAATGTTGTTATCATGTCTTAATAATTTTGATTTTGGTCCAACAAAATTATTTTCAGATCTGTATCCGACCAGATTTTTAGATGTCGAAACTGTTTTCTCCGTGCGCAAGTGACGAATTTTACAATTCGACAATTTTGTATTTTATATAATAAGAATGCGGTACAATCACATCATCGAATCACACAAGTGACCTTTACAATTTGTCGATAACTGTTCTTGTTTTTTCAGCGCCTCAGTTTCGTAAATCTCTGATCGTAACACGTTGATCATCTCAGAGATTTTTTTTACTTAAAAATCTCGACGTAGAGGACCCAAACTCGTGAAAAAGTCGTAACACACGCTGCGATGCGTGACGATGACGGGAGTGAGAAACTGAGACCGCGTTTGACACTGACAGTGGCTGATTAGGGATTGAGTTTAAGGATAGGCAGGCAGGGCAGGCGGGCAAGAAGGCAAGCAGGCAAGCAGGCAAGCAGGCAAACAGGCAAGCGGACAAGCGGACCTGCGCGGAAGCACACGCACGCGTATGCTTCCACGCAGCACGGCGTAGCGCGGCGGAGTGAGTGCGAACGGTGAACGTGATGCATCGGACGGAGAGGGACAGGCGGGAGAGAGAGGGGGGGTGATCGACAGGCGCGCGGATTGGTCGACTCGGCACGGCCGCGGCGAGGGTGGGGATGCTCTCACAGCTGAGCGCTGAGCTATAGACTCGAGTGGCCGATCGTACGATGCAGTCAGTAGCACATGAGCGCTCGTGGAGCGAGCATCGAAGCGTTTCTCTTCGGAACGGGCGAGGATGTCAGTTCGTGATCGACGAGCGACTGTGAGAGGAGCCCATAACGTCTGAATCTTGGACCGCGCGTGCACATCGTCGATATCCAGTGTCGAGAGACACAGGTCTAAGGGAGCGAGAGTCGGGAGGAAAAAAGAAAAAAAGAAAGAGAGCGAGGAACGCACTCGAGCGACGGAAGGGTAACGACCACCGCGCGCTTTTATCGCTACTCAGCGAGAGAGAGCACGTGGATGCGGAATTATATGTGCGACCGTTGGAGTTCGTCGCGCGTCTCCCGCTCGGATAAGCCGCGGTAGCAGCGGCGACGACAAAAGACGGAGGAGGTGTTCTACGGTAGTGTCGATCTCGGAGGGACAGCGACGAGTGGGAATCTCACCACGGTCCATCCATCCATCCACAGTCGAGTCGCGTTCACAAGAGAGGAAGCTTACGTTGTTTTTTTTTCTTTTACGTCCTCTCATAACTTTTCGCCCGACGCCAGTTTCAATAAACGCGGCGAACGCTCATCCTTTGGACGTCAGAGCTTGAATTTCATTTCGAGAGAAACTTGATTTTTTTTTTTTTCACGAATCGTGTTGGAGGATACGTATCTACGTGTCGCAGGTGCGTCGAATTATTGGTGAAAAAACCGAAAGGAAGTGATCGACTGCGACAGAAGGTGAACGAGAATTGATCCTCGCCGACGAGAACGCGAAAGCGGGATTGTGTGATGCGAGTCGCCGACTTGACATCGTTGTTCAATTGAAGTGAAGTGTACGTGGAGTTCTTTCGGAAGCGGCCCGAAAATGGTGCCAACGCAGCAAGATAGTCCCTCGAACTCGAGGATACCCATCATGTTCGGATCGTTACTTGTGAAAAAGGATTCCGCCACGCCATATTCGGATGCCACACAGGTAAATACGGATGAGGGATGTCCACTGGACGAAGGGAAACTTTCGACAGAGTTATTTCCAGATTTTTCCAATTTCGAACTTTATGTTCGTTAAATTCTTTATGAAAATTTTCTTTCTTCGTCTCTTCCTAAATTTTTTCATCTCACACTTGAATGATTTTGTTTTTTTTACTATCATTTGGTCCTCATAAATGTATGAGAGAAAAACTAAAGATGAAAAAATCCATGCTATATTTTCTCAAGTTTGCTTTAAAATTTAAGAAAGCATTCTGGGAGAAAAAAGTCAGTTCTCTCAAAGAATTGTAAACCTAGCTTAATTTGAGAGGCTAGACGTGCTAGAAAAAATTAATTCTCAGAATTTCTAGGCTTGCCTGGAAATTTGAAGGAGCATGTTAAAAACGTGAACTTTTCGAGAAAATCATAAACTTGTTTGAGTATTTGAGCGAACATGTTAGAAGTGTTAGTTTCCCGTGAACCTCAAATCGAGTTGACATCTTTTGTATTTTACTTCATTTATCATCGCTAGTGTCCGCCCAAGAAAAATATCTTCGAGGATTATTTTTACCGCATGCAGCGAGTATCCCTTCGTTTTTATTTTATTGCATCAAAGATTTTTTTCTGCGATAACAGCCTCCTTCGAAACGGACACCAATTATAAAATCTTAAACTGTCGAAAGATTTTTCGACAGTTTGAATTCAAAATCACGAAATTCGAATTTCGATCTTTGACAGAGATCGGCGGCGAGGGTTGAATCGCATTGTCGATATTCGACGAGACGTTCATGATTCGTTTACGTGGCGAGATTAACTGTCACATCTTTGCGAACATCAAGATAAACACTTCGCATCAGACAAAACTTGTAGGCTAAATTGACTCTCGAAAACGATGACGAATCTCGTAATAGAATTTTTTTCTTTGGCGGAATAGGAATTTTCAACGGTTGAGTTTCGTATTTACCTGCGATTTCCTTTCTTTCCCTGTGAAGGAGCCTTTAATAATACGTGATAATCGAAGGGAAAAGAAACGGGGGGAAGAAACGGCATGCATTTCGGGGTTCGAGCGGACTCCTCGTGTGACGAGGGTCAAGCTGTTTATTTGAAAGCGGGTGCAGGTAAAGATTTCGAAAGCGCTGTAGGCCTCGTCATATACGCGGAGATTTACTGCCAAATATTGCTGTGCGGATGCGTCGAAGGTCTTTCTTAAGCCGGATTAATGCACCGCGAACGCTTTCCTCGGCGATGCGATGCGATGCGATGCAAGGTTCGACCGAAAGGCGAAAATAGCGCAAAATGACCGTTTGCGATATGTATCGTTAATAACGCCGAGGGAACATGCGCGCCTCAAAGTGGGCCGTAAACTATATTTTTATCGGCGCACGTGGCAAAGTATATAAATCTCTAGTATTAACGGAATTTATTGCTTCACGGCGTATTCTCATTCGTATTCATCGATGCGACTTTTATGAATTTATGACGGACGATCGCGTTAGTTACACAGTTGGAAATCGGCGAGCGCGATGATTTCTCGAAGCGTCGATTGTTCACGGGGGCAATTCCGCACGTTTTTTTTTTTTCGTGTAATTGAAAATGCGTCCTGTGAGTAGACGCGCAGGCGAGCTCTAATAACGACGAAAGTCCAAAGTGTCGGAATTAATATTCGTTCCTCGTTCGCGCGTGATGGTCGTTACTCGTGCGACGCAATAAAATGTTTGGCTGCAAAAATTATTTATCCTGTTATTTATCTAATTATGTGTAACCCGTAATTCGTATCGAGAAGATGGTAGAAATATCTGGTGTTGCGCGAGGCAGATGTTATTTTAAAGCGGAACAACCGTAAAGGCGAAGGCCTGTCGATCGGTTCGAGCCATGTCCATTTGATGCAACATTCGACTTTGTCGAAGAGACGTCTTTGATAGAACGCGATAGTACATTAACTTGTTGAGCGAAACGCAAAATATCGCCGGTCGATGTTTGTTTGCGAGACCTGTCTCCTCGAGATATCATAAACAGTGTTTCTTTTTTTTTTTTTCTTCGTGCTTATGTATCGATCGGCGAAGTCTTTTCACGGCAACGTCTTTGACCGAAAGAAATCGGTCGTTTTCTAAATATAGTAGTGTATTCGTCCTCCTGCCGTTTGGCTGCCGAGAGAGGAACATTCACCGTCAAAAATACTAGGAAATTTGCAGTCGCGATTTAAAGCGAACGTTATCCAGCATTAAAAGAGAGATAAGAGTATATTGGGAGACGGATACGGCGTAAAATTAGAAAGTGGACTTTCGATTCTTTTTTCTAACTAGAATTGTTAAGCGGATTAACTTAATCCGTCGAGGAGAGGAGGGAAGGGGAGGGATTTTCTCGGAAGGTCTCTGACGAAAGGACGGTTCCAAAAACATCAAAGAAAGGTCCTCGGGCAGGGTTTCTCTCGAATATATCCCTGCTACGGACCCATGCAACGGCAGCACAAGACCGTCCTCGTTTCTAAACCCACATGCATTTTCGGCGTGCACGCGCGCGTGTATGCATGTCGGCCTTTTCTCATATGGCGACGGGGCCGGGTGCCATATGGCTCGCGTGAAAATTCGTAGGTATTTCCAGACCTCGGGGGCTCTGACTTCCCGAGCCCGATACACGAACCGGATATTCCTCCCTCGTACGCTCAATTACTTGCGCGCTCTGGCCGATACACCGACATTTTTCTCAGTAGGTTCCCCGGTCTCGAATCTCCTCCGAGACCGGTCAATTATCCTTCGGGACTTTAATGACTCAGGTCTCTAATTCTAGAGCTCGGCCCGTCCAGGTAGTCCTCCGCGCGCGATTATGTATTTTGTATCGCTCCGGGGAAATAACATTCCCCGGTATACGCGGCCACGATACGAGTATCGGTTCGCGGCGCGGAATAATCGATCGATCGCGTCATCGTCGTGATTTTTGATTTCGCACGCACGACTCGGGCCTGCCGCGCCACGTCGCGCCGCGCCGCACCACGCCACGCCACACTACACCACACCACACCACACCACACCACACCACGTCACATCATGCCGCGATCGTTCGAGAGGCTGTAATTCGACGGTTGCACCATGGTCATCCATTTCGATCGATCAATCGATCTGCACAAGCACGAATACGTAATACGAACGGTTGTGAGTTCTATCGTTCGTGGTTTCGCGGATTATTGGATGTTTTATTACTTAACCTCTTCATGCGAATTCAAATCGTATTATTATGATGACTTGTACGTTAATTTTCGTCTGAGATGGTTTTTTTTTTTGCGAGAGATCAATCTCATTATCGTTAATAACGTCACTCAATGTAAGAAGTGGAGAGATTAATATTGGGTTTAATAACACATACTATATATATATATATATATATATATATATATATATTGTACGTTACTACTACTCTCTCTACTATATATATATATATATATATATATATATATATATAAAAGATACGATTCAAGATTCATAATCGCTGTTTTATTTGGCGAGATAAACACGAAGTAGAATTTTTCGTGCGTTTTTCCTTTTCCATCCGAGTCGATAATTATTTGACCGTGTTGCATCGCAGTTGCGTTAGCCATCTTAATCTCTCTTGACATGCCGTAACTTCGCATTGCGCGTTATCAAATCTTAGTTGCATCCGCCTCGCGATACTCCGGCAAAACCGCAACAAGTGCGTCATGATAAATTCTCATCTGAAATGCACGGAGCGGGAATGGAAAAGAGAGATATAGAATATCATTCGAGATGTTTCGTAAAGTCGACTTCGTCGTGTCTGCTAATCGTGTGATCGTTTCTATCGTCGATCTCCGACTGAAGTTAAAATCGAGATTTCTGGAAACCCTTGATTAGGTCTGCATTACACGTGGTGTTCGCTAAGTGAAACCCGTTTCCGTTCACAAGGTAGGATTATCTCGTCTCAGTGGGGAATGTTATTTCTCTAATGCGGCAATCACGTCCGATGGGCCGATATTGCCGCGTGATATTTTTCGACGTTTTGTGATTTACGTCGCCACGGAAATAAAACCGCCTCGTGTGTGTTCGGGTGCGGGGCGGGGAGGGGGGGCGCGCGGGAAGGACGGAGAAAAGGACTCGGCGGGGAACGTAGGATCCGTAATTTTCGTCTCGATTCCAATTTCTTTTTCTCGCGGGCTTAATCTCGTCCGGTAAATTGGCCCTCTGAACTTCTCTTTGACTGCGCTCTCGGCCTCTCCCATCACCGGCCTTCTCCCTCTCGCCGTCGCCATCCGCCTCCTCCTTTCCTGATAGGTACAATCCCATCAAATTATCCCGATTACCTGTAGCCTTGACGATATACGCGAGCCTTTCTAATAGAGACAAGCGCGCACCGACGTTAACGACGATTTCGAAGTCGAACGCATGGCTGCCGGCGTTCGCATGACGTGAGTTTCGTTAGATTCACGCCTCATTTATATCGCTGAATGCGCTGCCGCTCGTCTTTTGCATTGAACGTAATTTTTCACGAGCCGGACGAGCCGGATTCCCTCCCCGAGTCCGTCCGCCGGTCGAAAAATGCCGATTCCTTCGCATCGCGATCGACAAGTTACATTGAACTTTGGTACTTATGCGATTATTTTCGCCACATCCGCGTATCTGGTCGCGCATCTAAAAAGATATTACCTTCGAGCGATTGAAGATAATCACATGGCGTACGCGCGGCAAGATGACGCGTTTCTTAGGCGCACGCTTCGGCGCAACGACGTGAGCGCGAGCGTAGCGCAGAATTTTAATCGGGGAACACAAGGCTCTCTCTCCCCATCTCGATCTCGTGGGAAGGGGGGGAAGGGTTCGCTATCGGGAGTCACGCTCGGCTCGGGTGCGTAAAAAACGCCGAGCGGATACGCGGATCGGCTCGCTTTCACGGAAAGCTCGCGTGATAACGCGCGGCGCGGGGGATAAGTCGGATGTTCTGGGAAGCGCATCCGGTGGGGAAACGCGCGAATGGGGAAAAAAACGTCCACGTTTTCATCGTGAACCAGCACAATTATGATCAGCGCGGCGGCGGCCAGCGGTCGAGCGAGGCGCGCGAGCAAATCGCGCCGTCACTTTCCCCGTACGCGTACGTGTACGCGTGAACGTGACGTTTCGCGCTCGCACGATTATTCTATTTACGAAAATGATTATTGAGAGCGGTCCGCTCGTGTCACGTTTGGCATCAATCGCGTCTCTCCGATTCCCGTGTCACGTCGGAGTATTAAATGCGGTATTCCTGTCGTGCAATTAATAAAAACCGAACATTCAGCTTTTATATTTGAACTAATGTGTATAAAGTGAAATGAAAAGTAGAGCGAAGTAAAATATAGACGAGGAATTGTAAAGTGAATTAACGTATAAACTAAACTCGTCTATGTACACTTGTGAATATATTGTTTAGGTGGTTGGCAATTTTCTATTACAATTGCAAGCGAGAAATGCAACGTGATTTTGTTTTTACTGAAAAAAGACTAGTACTGTGTAACGGTTAAACGGCTCCTATGTAATAAAAAATCAATCATTTAATGTACTCTATTAAATTTATTTTATATAATTTTTTCTTTCTCTTTTTATTTTTTATTTTCATTTATTTGTTTTTTTTTTTCTACAGATTAAAGTGGATAAGCAAGAAACTATTTACAATCACAATAATAACAATAACAATAATAATGGTATCTATCTACTTAAAATTAATAATATTTTACCTACAATAAGAGCAATAAGTTGCTCTTCTAAGATCGTGCATTCTTAATTTTTTTATATTTCGTCAATTTACGCTTTATACGTAATAAAATTTTTCAAGACAAATTCACACACACACACACACACACACACACACACACACACACACACACACACACATATACACCAAGTAAAAAAAATACATTTTCTAGAAAGAGAAATCATTATTATTTCGCAAGTTGCCTTCCCACCGCTCAGACGCGAATTTTTACATTTAACATAAACAAAAAGAAAAAAAAGATTATGCATGCCAGGGTTAATTACGCTAATCGACGGATTATCTACCGAGGCGTTATTAGTCGCGATGGTGAAACCATCGTCGATGCCGTAATGCCGTGCTAACCGGTGTAACGGTATTACAAAAGCGACAGTGAAATGGCGGGATGAGAACGCCGGTTTCGCTCCTTGAAAGTTACGCGCGCGCGTACCAAGCCGCGAATGTACATCACGTTGTAATTGCCCCCTCGCGCTTACTTATTGCGAATACGATAGAACGATAGTCCCCACCCCTCCTGGGATACGCGCGCGAAAAAGTTCGCCCGGATTCCGCGGGTTAAGAGGCGGCCGCGGAAGGAAGAAAGCGGAAAAAGTAGTCGCCGTTGGCGCGAACGGTAGAAATAGTTATGTCTTTTGTCGGGTATGCATAAAATCGGCCGTAAAGATTGGAATTACGGCGGGGCCCGTAAGAGATTCTGATAAGAACTGAGATTTCTCTACTTGGGTGGTGCGAGTTATTGTTACGGTTATGAGAATATAAAGCGGGACTATCTCACAACGAGATCGGTCCGTTTAAGAGACCAACCATAAATATAATCACGCATTTTTTTTTATCCTCCGTTGTACGCCACGACGGACAGTGCTGCGTATTGTCGCGATGGTGCGTATGGGATCTGTATCGCATTTTGCGTTCAACGACAACACACGGCGCCGAATAAAAGGGTTCCCGGAGCGTTCTGGAGAGAGCTGGATCGAAATTTAAGAGCGTTAATTAAATGTTATCTGAATTTATTTTGAAAAAATAATTTAGATATCTAAATCTTTTTTTGAAAAATAAATTTAAATAAAATTTTGCAATCGCTACATCTCTCTCGAGTTAACGGATGCACTCGCACGATAAAATATTTGCTTTAATATTTTTTTTTCCTGATATATATTTGTGCTCGCGAAGAGTTTTTATGATAGCGGCGGAATAAGTCCGTGGCGTGCGCGATAAAGTGACGTCTTCGGCGCGTTATCGGTTATTTGCCTATCGTGGTACTTTTTATCTATCGATCTAATCTCAATGACATTGCCGTATCTGGTGCACAATGGTCGCCTCTATCGGTATCTCGTAAAAAGCAACGGAGCAAAACAACGGTGCGATTGATTCCCAATCCGGAAATAAAACGTTCCCGAGTTCCTTAAGCGACGTTACAAGAGATTTCTGCGGCGCGAAAAAAGCGATTCGTGCGTCGCCGAGAGAGAAAGAGAGAGACGACGAAAGAGAGAAAAAAAAATGCTTTTAGCGTGTTCTCCGGGTCTCTCTACGGTCGATCGGACGAGATTAATGTCTATTGCAAGGTCGCGTTGACAGATTCATAGCGGTAAATTGTGCCGCTGAAGGTCAAACGAAAGTACGATCGTTCGCCGAGACGAACAGTTGCTGGATCAAATGTCCCGTGCTGTTGGAAGAGAATTGATTTTAACTCTCTGGAGGTCGGTAGTTTTTTCTCCCCCCTCCCCTCACGTTGAAATCGCCGTATATTTCGCGAAGCGAGAGGCGTGAACCGCTAGTGAATTTCCATTGACGAGGTCGAGGTATTAATAGAAACGGGAGCTCGAAGTCACACGCGTGCTTCTACTCGACGTGTATGAAGAAGTTACATTATCTATATGTATGGAAAAGAGAATTGCCTTAATACCATTAATAAAGTCAAATTTATGCGAAAGAAACTGTGCCATCTCGAAAGTTTGGTGCTAATGGACTAACGCTGCTTTGCATGCTGCGTCTTCGTAGCTGGTCGACTAAATTATTCAAATATCCTATCGACAGCACGTATTACTTTTTATTTAAATTAGTATAAAAAAAATAGTACAAGATTTTAAAATTCGTATAGAAATTAGAGGATGATAGTTTCACTCGTGAATGAGGACTTGGAAAGGACAGTTTTAGAAATACAGTGACGCTCTGAGAGCTGATGTGCTTAAAAAGCACTTAAAGGGGTCTGGCAGGCACAGACACGTCGTTGTGTTATTTTATAAGTGCTACGATCGTATGTTGGATGAATCACTATGACCGGGACTCGATACGTCGTGACGATAGATAAAGAGGGAGAGAGAGACAGAGAGAGAGAGAGAGAGAGAGAGAGAGAGAGAGAGAGAGAGAGAGAGAGAGAAGGA